AGTATTGGAGCAGCTTGGACACTAACTGGACCTCATGTGGGATCTGGGCATCACAGCTGTCTTTGCCTGCTATGTCACAACACAAAGCCTCAAACAATTATTTTTTTTAAAAAAATTATTTAAAACAAATGCAAATTTGAAAGAAAGAAGCTATAGAACGAGTAAAGTAAAAATAGTTAAATACAATCCTAATAAAATTGAACTAAGGACCTGGCACGGTGGCCTAGCGGGTAAAGTCCTTGACTTGAATGCACCAGGATCTAATATGGGCACAGGTTCTATTCCCAGCAGCCCTGCTCCCCATCCAGCTCCCTGCTTGTGGCCTGGGAAAACAGTCAGGGACAGCCCAAAGCCTTGGGACCCGCACTGCTTGGGAGAACTGGAAGATGTCCCTGGCTCCTGGCTTTAGATCTGCTCAGCTCTAGCCATTGCAGTCACTTGGGAAGTAAATCATCAGACAAGAGATTTTCCTCTCTCTGTCTTCTCCTCTCTGTATATCTGAATGTGTAACAAAAATAAAATAAATCTTTAAAAGCAATTGAACTAACACAACTTGAAGGTATTGCATACTTATGTCATTTTACTGATTCTTCTAAAATCTTCTATCGTTTATTTCATAGCGACTTTTAGATGTAACTCATTTTTTTCTACATTTGATTTATTGAGAATTATTGCTAATGAATTTTAAAATGAACAATGATGACCAAAACAATTTGGGCTATGGTTGTCAGTTTTCATATATATATATATATGAATAAAAACTAAAAAGAATAAGATTTTGTGTCTTTATGTCCACATAGTGTAAAATGTCCTTTAACTCATTGTGTAAGCTTCCGTGCTCCTATAGAGCCGTTTAGCTTATTCCTGGTGCTGATAAACTGTGTATGTACAGTGATGTGCCACCTAATGACCTTTCAGTCAACAGTGGGTCCTAGTGACGGTCGTTCCATAACTTCATAATGCATTGTGACACTGTAGGTGTGTTTGGAGACTTCCATTGGTTTATACACAAGGCTTTTTCCACCTGACACTTCATGTATCTATTAATAAGCAGTACATGATTTTGTAGGTTTAAATATTAACCATGTAAAATGGAAGAACACATTATTTTCTTGCATATTGGGAGCCAGTCTTCTAGTGTTTAATTTGGTAGTGTCGTTTTTTGTTTTTTTTTCCCTTTTCCTATGAAAGCTCTTCCAAGCATCTGTTGCTGAATGGGAGGGATATTGGTCAGCTGTGCAAGCTAGTCAGCCTGTTCTACAGTTCCTGCAATGCAAATGCTGTCCAGATTCAGTTGCTCAGCATATAATGGGGACTGTTTTAATTGTCTTCCATTCAGATCTTAAGTTCTCTGCTTGATTGGCCGATCTAATTATGTTGTGTCTATATTTATTATGGATTGAAAGGGCTTTAGTGTGTTTTCCGCTGTTAGGACCGGAAGAAGATTTACACATGCTGTTATGTTGACAGCTGGGCAAGATTTGGCTCTGAGATGAGGCGATCTACTCAGTCTCCGTGTAACATTATGTAACCGATTCTGTTATGCTGACATATCCATCTTTATTCCTGTGTGCATGTGGCTTGTATATTATGTAGGTTTGGATAATACATAACTTACATTAGATTGTACCTCACATAGGTTTTGGAAGAAGTGTTTGAATATGGATAATTCATTAAAGATATCATCTTAAAAAGATTAAAAGAAGAAAAGGGGACATGAAAACAAGTGCAAGATAAAATGTTCACTAATTGATAGTTTATCTCTGTAACGAGCTATGGCTCTAACCTTGGAGTCGTTTCCTAGTATTCAGTGAGCTTTCTCAGAAGGCATTTCTCAGTGAGGCATCTGGCAGGCAGTGCAACGTGTATCTCCGTACTTCCAACTCTCCTGGAATGTTGGTTTGGGCATACTGTTCTCATCTCTGACATTTTCAGGTTCTATCTGCTTTCTGGAATGTCACAGAAAGGGTTTCTCTGTCAGAAACAACAGCGTCCAGGGAGCTCAGGTGCACTGAGAGAGAGTCAAGTGTGGCGTCAGCAGGATTCACTCAGGACTCCCAATGGCCACATGTTGCTGCTTGTACTCAGTGATGCTACTGAGATATAAAGTGTTAAAAAAAATCCTTAAAAAGATAACATGGGGGGAATAAACTATAATTTGGTTGATGAAGATCATCTGAAGGACACAATCTGGTTTGCGTTGTTTTGCTTCACTTTTTGTTTGTTTTTTTTACCTCTATTAGAGAGGAGCTTGGTTCTTGAGGACATTGTTGCTAGTGTGATTTGGTTGGCCTGTAGGATGACCGAAGTTTCTTTTCCCAAGTGCTGACTTGGGCTACTTTCCCTTTGTCTGGTTGTGGTGATTTTGATTACTTTCTCACCTTTATTATTGGTCATGAAAGAATCGAGAAGTGCCTCGGCATATCTCTCAAGTTTCAAGGTACGTTTCTGCGTGCCCAATGACACTTAAGTGCTAATCCTATCAACCACAATTCTTTTCTTTATCTGCAGGCATTTTTATCTAAAGGAGCTAGCATGTTTGAATATTTTGAAGGAAATGTTTTAGTTTAAACAGTTTTACATCTGTTGGTTAATCAAACCCTAGTATCTACAGCGTGGGACCCTCACCTCACTTACCTTTAGAAGCTGAAGTCGCACGGGGAGGAAGTAAAGTTTCTCTGAGCGGATCCTGACAGTGTGGATCACAGTGATCTGTGCTTCCTTTACTTTTCTAACTCACCCGGACGTGCAGACATGAAATCTTTGGTAATCATGAAGTTACAGCCTTCCAGACCTTGTCATGTGTACATAAATGTGCTTTGCGTGGCATCTGCCCAGCAAGTGGACAGATTCTGAATTCTTACCTTCAGGGCTCATTTCTTGTGCCAGCTCGTTATATTTGTTACCCTCCAAAGCAGACTCTGAAGAGGGATGGGTCATAAGTATTTATGTGGCAGATGGTCCAGCAAGTACAAGTGAAGAAGTAGGGCTGGTGAAAACATGTGCATGAGATGTGCTGCTGGTTGAGGAAATGTGATGACGCTCTTGCACTCAATTTCAGTGGACGCCTTCTGGGAAAAAAAGATCACTCGTGTTCACCGCAGGACAGGGTGTTGCAGGAACATTCACTCTTTGTCCCTTCCTTCCACTCGTGGAAGAATCCTCCTCACTGCACCTACCTGCAAAGGAACAATCTCCCGGGGTGTCAGGGAAAGTCTTTGGAGACAGAAGGAGGCTGGCCGTTGAATTGTGAAATGCTCGCTGTCTTGGGAATTACAGCAGCAGATATAGAGTGCATGGTGTAATGTGAGATGGGGTGTCAGTAGCATTTATGTGATTATCAGAGCGATGTTCCTTGTACTAGAGCTTATGGCAACCCTCAGCTGTTGCCCTAGCATATGCAGTGTTTGGAATTAGCTGTGCTCAAGGGGCTGCAAGGTGCCTCACTCCAGATCGGGAGACATGCATTTCGCTTTACGTGAGTTACAAACTAACAACACTAGTTAATAACACTCTTTTATTTGCCTCAAAGTCTTTGGTAAGGCCATCTGTTTGAAGCTTATAAGCATTATTATTATTTTTTCATGGCAAAATAAGTCACTTTTGCGCCAAAGTGCAGTTGTGTTTTTCACTCCAAAGCGCAAGGTGGAAATTTGTAATATCACACTTGACATGAACCTTGCAAGATTTAACAGGAAATTTTTAAGCAAAAAAAAGGGGAATTATGGTGTCTGTGAGACATCCTATTGGGTAGAGTGAAAGAGCCAGGGAAAAGGGAAAATGAGCAGTGATGATAAATATTTGTACAAGAACGAGAAGATCAAATAAGCCGATTTAAATGGACACAGAGCCTGTTCCTCTGTGCACCTTTTTTCTCATATGCTCATCATGCATACTGACTTATGTATTAAATTTTTCTTGTAGTGTCCTGCCTGGTTTAAACAGAGGATAATACAGGGTTTGCAGAACGATTTTGGAAGTGCTTTTTCCTCTTCAGGTTTTTGGAATAATTTACAAAAGGATTGGCTGTTTTGTCTTAATCTTTCTTTTCAGAGTGTTTTTATTATTATTATTATTACTCAACCTTCTTGCTTGTAATTTTCTGTTTTTTGATTCCATCTTGGTAGATTGTATACTTCTAGGGAGCTATCCAGTTCCTTTAGATTATCCATTCATGTGGCATATAATCAGTTCTACTCAAGGAAGTTTCCGATTATCTTTTGCATTTTGTAGCAATTATTAAATCATCATTCATTTATAATATTTTTTGAGTCTTGTCTGTCCTATTCCTGGTAGGTCTAGTGAAACGTCTGTCAACTTCATTTGTCTTGTACATTTCCTCAGCCAGTTTGGAGGCTAATTTGTTTTCTCCCTCTTCTGCTTTTACTTTCTAATTGTTTGGGAAATGAAGTTACAATATGGGTGTTTATTGACATAAACTTCTCTCTGGAGCTTCCCTTGCTATATTCCACAATATTTGCTATGTTATTTTTCCATTTAATTTGTCTTCCAATGAATGCCGATTTCTTTTTTACTTCCTTCCTTGATACATTGGTTGTTTAGAAGTTAGTTGTTTAATTTGCATTAATTTTTTAAAAAAGATTTATTTATTTATTTATTGGAAAGTCAGATATACAGAGAGGAGGAGACACAGGGAGGAAGATCTTCCGTCCGATGATTCACTCCCCAAGTGAGCACAACGGCCGATGCTATGCCGATCCGAAGCCAGGATCCAGGAACCTCTTCTGGGTATCCCTCATGGGTGCAGGGTCCCAAAGCTTTGGGCCATCCTTGACTGCTTTCCCAGGCCACAAGCAGGGAGCTGGATGGGAAGTGGAGCTGCCGGGATTAGGACCAGCGCCCATATGGGATCCCAGCGTGTTCAAGGCGAGGACTTTAGCCACTAGGCCACACTGCCGGGCCCTAATTTGTACTAATTTTTGAATTTGCTTAAATTGTACTTACTTCAATCTTCACTCAGTTTGCTAAACACACACACACACACACACACACACACACACTTATACATACACACATAAAAGGTCTGACCCTAGTCCTAAAAGCTCTGGTTAAAAATGAAGCAGTGAATACTTCTCAGTGTATGGAGTGGAAGCAGTATACTATTTTGTATATCCCAGGGCTACATGCTGTAGAGAATTATGCAATTATACCCATAAAATAATCTTGGAGTATTTTGCTTTCTTTATATTTTTTATATCTTTCTAATAAAAAGTAGAAGAATGAATTATTTTTGTGGAGCATAGTAAGAGAACATGTATATTGATTTTCCATTTTCTTGATAGAAAATAATGCCTCCCCAAGTTGGAGACAGTGTTATCTTGCTTTGCTCTAACATTTGTACTAAGTGCGTCATCTTTATGACGACTGTCAACTTCTGACCAATTGCCCCTTGAATCCTTAAACATGATCACTGTTTTTAGAACTTGAAAGAGTAAAATCAACCGGAGGACCGACATACAACTCTGCACTAGGGAGAGGACAATAGTTACATTTCAGACAATGTTCTTTAGAAAAAAATAGCGTAAGGAGATGATTCATGCAACTGTAAATTAGATTTAAAATAAACTTTTCATAATAAAAAGAAAACTGTCTATGAAAATCTGAGTGAGAAGAAAGAATTATTCAGCCTAGGGTGTCTGGAAAGTTTTGTGAGCCAAACTTAGACGCTCTCGGAGTGCGGTGTGTTTTGTCACCTGTGCTTCCTGCTCCAGGACTGCTTCTCCTGCTTTCACCTGCCGACTCTGTTCTTACCTGTTAAACCTTGCTCATTGGTTTGGCAGTGTTGCAGACTGAAATGTTTCTCCCCGTTGTCTCACTCCCTCGAGAGCCAGAAAGAATCTTGAGTTTCTATCATTTACTCCTTATCTCCGTTTGACAACTGAGTTTTGTTCCACATATGTCCTACCAAATGGAGAAGGAGGTCACAGGAGTTATGTGATTACCATTTAACTTTAAAGTGTATTTCTAAAATATTTATAAAAATATTTATTTTTACCAACTAACATTTCATTTATCATGTTTTTCTGACTTAGAATTTGAATCTCTTTACATGAAATTTACAAAATGTTCTCCAAAGAATGATTATTTCAATCCGTGAAAAATAGTATATGTTGTAATAGATCAGTAAGTATGAATTCTTCCAGCTAAAGAAAAATAATATATAATAAAATATGGCTAGCTAATTTTGCTTACCTAACATAGTGAATAGTTCATTTGGTTGGGATCAGAGCTTCTTTGAAAAAAAATATTTAGTAATTTCACAACAATTGGGAAAAGATAATATATATAATATATGAAATTCTGTAGACCTAATGTTACTTGCCTACTATGTTTCATTAATTTCAGGGAATATAAATGTACCAATAAAGCTCCATGTCTGTTTCTCCTGAAATTCATTTGTAAATACTCTATTAATCTATTAGAAGATAGATCCTTTGAGAAGTGTGAGCATTTTACAGGAAACCAGGAGAAGAGTAGAGCCCCTCCCTATGACATGACTAGCGTCATTACAAGAAGACAAAGAAGTTGGAGCTTTCTCTCTTTGATCAATCTGTAAAAATACATCAAAAAAAGCAGGTTTCTGTAAGCTATGAAGTGGGCCCTCCCCAGATGTGGGATCTCGAGTGCTTTGATCTTGGAACTTAGTGTCCTGAAAATTGTGAGAAATGGATGTCTATGGTTAAAGTCGGCTCACCTGTGGTAACCCTAAGTGACTGATACAGAACTGGGTGTTGAGAAATGAGGTGCTTGCTCTGACAAATACAGGAAAGCTTGCAACTGGCTTTGAAACAAGGTAATGGGTAGAGGCCAGGAAGCTTGCATATGAGAAGAGGCTAACATTTCTGTAAGAGAAATTCGAAGGATATTCTAGTGACTTGTCAAAGAATATACAGATTCTATTATTTTAGAACACATAAATGCATATAATAGTGAAGACTGCCTTATAGATAATCGTGATAGAAATATGGACGGTAAAAGATGACAAAGAACCAGGTTCAGCTGTGTTCAGGTTCATGGTTTTTGTTTTGGCAAGCAAAACAAATGATGGACTTGGATATTTAGCTTAGAATGTTTCTAAGCTAAATGTTGGACCATCTTAATTTTCCCAGAGAGCTTCTAATAAAATGTGAGAATTGAGAAATTCCAGGATAAATAATCATCTATCAAAAAGGAACTAGAATTTGAAGATTTGGAAAACCCTTAGTAATTGAGAAATATTTTGATGAAAAAAAAAAAAGCCAGGGATGTGGCTGAACAAGTATTTGATATGCAGTGATATGCTTGCTGAAAGTAGAACTATGGATTTAATTAACTATTCAGCAGGAAAGGGGCCTGTTTGTATCGAAAGGAAAGGAAATATTATGGAATTAGAGAAGGTGTTTGATTTCCCAGGATCTATAGGACAATATAGTGAAACTGTTCAATCAAAACATGTACTCTTTAAGGAAAAATAAGGATGGCCCTGGAAGGTGATACAGAGATGACTGGGTCACTGGGTATGTTCTAGATACAGAGATGATTGGAGCCACTGACTGTGCTCTAGATACAGAGACAGTAGGACAGACAGCCTCAACAGAGACCATGCAAGGGGGCAAGGTTGCCATGGCAATACAGGCAGTTTGCCCCTGGCAGAGCCCTGGAGGTGGGCTTGTTTCCCTATAGGATTGTGAATGGACGAAGCCCCCATAGAGCACCACAGTGTGTGCAGAACCCCACAGAGGCTTGAAGGTGACCTTGCCACTACAGGCAGTCTTGAGGACAGAACAGCAAGTCCAAGGGGATGGCCATAAACCTTTGCATCTCAAGGATTTCCTGTGGTGGGTTTCAACTTGTTTGGAATCAGCTCCAAAAGCACTCATTGCCGTTTTTGTCATTTTGGGTTTTTCTGTCCATAATTCTTTAAAAATATTTTAACAGGGTACAATTGATCATTAAAGTTTGTGTCCCATTATCTTTCTTTTGGGTCATTTGTTCTATTTTCTTCTTTTCTTGTTGTTATTAGTTGATCATCAGATATTTGGTTATTTTTCATTTATTAGTAGACGTCTCATGTTGAAATTTACCAACGTATGAAGGTTATCTACCTCTGGCTCTAGGCAGCCTTTTTGAAATTTTTGATTTAAGGGTGGACAATGAGTAATAGTGTGTACTCCTAATTGAGTGTCTGGGCCTCATCAAGAGAAGACAGTGTTCACTTTACTCCTGGCCACTGGAGTCTCATATTGTTTGGTTTAGAATTTTGGGGTTCAACTATATGAGATTGTTTATTAACCACCTTTCTTTCGCCTAGGTGGTATTTTTGCCCCTGTAGTTCCTTATAGCATGAAGAAATGGGACTAAGTATTTGAGTATCACATCTTAACTGAAGTTTAAGCTGAACAGCTGGTAATGTCAAATAAATCACTCTACTTTTTCTTCTTTACATGTATCTTAATCATACAACTTCAAAAAATTTACCTGTTAGACCTTTCCCTATGTTTTTGCAGGCCTATTTTAAGATGTCTTTTCTTTTGAAAAAATCATTTTTATATATGTATGTGGAAGGCAGAGAGGGAGAAGCAGAGAGAAGGAAAGAGAGGGAGAAAGAGAAGTCTTCTATCCATTGGTTCACTCCCTGAATGACAACAGCAGATCTGGATCTACTGAAAGTGAGGAGCTAGGATGCTTTTCAAGATCTGTTGCAGAGGTGCAGGGGCCTAAACACTTGAGCCATTCTTCCACCGCTTTCCCAGGCACATTAATAGGGAGCTGGATCACAAGTGGGGTGGCCGGAGTTAAACCAGCATACTTGGGAGATGCAGGCACTATAGGTGGCATATCATGTGAATCCTCCACCTGCAGCTTTGATCCACCTTTGATTCAGAAGTGATTTTTTTTTCTATTTTACTTTAACTGAAAGTCAGAGATACAGAGAGAGAAAGAGAGAGAGAGAAAGAGATCATCCACCCACTGATTCAATCCCTAAATGGTTTTAGTAGGCCAAGGCAGGCCAAAACCAGGATCTATGAAGATTGTAACAATCTTCATAAGCAGCTACAAAGCACAATTGATAAGTAATTAAACTTTAACACGTTAGGAAATACTACATGCATTCTTCAGAAAGTGAACTTTGTGAAGCCGTGACTCACTATTGCTGCACGGTGAGTGTATTTCCAATCGGTGTGCCCCAGAACCGCGGGCCGATGCTCCACTTCAGCTTGACACTGCTGAGCTAATGGATGCTTGAGAGACATGTGTGTGAAGTTGCACCTCCTTGCCTCACTCCGTCTTAATTTTCTTACTTTCTTGTTTCTGTGAATTAGATCTATATGCAAGCATAGTCTATAATTATTTTTTCTTCTTCACCATGCATTCTGAAGAATCACCAAGTCTTACTGTGTCTGTAAATTATTCTGTAACCCATCAATTTCTTTCTGTATTCACTGACAATTCACTGTCACTTTCCTGGCCTGGCGTTACTTCACCGTCGTAAGATCGCCTTAAATCTTTTCTTATTTTGCTCACTTTGTTCTCCTTGTTGTCTTCCTTGTTCCTTCTTGAGCTTTCCAGAAGGAGAAATACAAATGATGTCATTCTCCTTCTGGCTCATAAAAATTAACATTTTCTTTGAAATAAAATTTAAAATATAAAGTTTTTTTTCCTGAAAACTCAGCAGATGTAAATTTTAACTCTACCAGAAATAATTATCTGTTAGTTGTTTTTTCCTTGTTCTCTTCATCTTTTAACATATTTCAGTTAATACGGTTCAATACAGACAGTTCATGGAATACCTAGATTTAACAATGCTTCCGTTTGTCCACATAATCTGATAAAGATCATGAAATGGGGAAAGAAAGCTGTGTGATTATGGGAGGGATGTAACTCAGTGAAGACAATAATATGAGCTCTGTATGCTAATAATACTTTCACACATATGTATGTACAGATGTTTTATATGTGTGTTTATATGAACTTACCCGTCGGAGAGACAATATGGAGTATTTGGGCAACTTCACTTAGGAAAGTGATTTCGAATTCCATCTATTTTGTTGCAAATATCTGCATTCCTTTTATTTCATTGCCGAATGCCAGTTCATTATGTGTATTTGCTCTATCTTCTTTATCTGTCCCTCCACTGTTGCACGGCTAGTATCTTTGCTGCTGTGAGCTGGGTTACAATAAGCACGAGAGTTCAGCAATTTCCTTCACATGCTATTTGAATCTGCTTTGAGAATACTCAACAACAGGGACAGCTAAGCTGTGTGACAGATGTGCTTTAAATTCATTTAGAAATCTCTACATTACTTTCCCAATGAATATATTAATTTGAATTCCCATCAACAGTGTGTGGGAATTGTCCTCCCTCCGCATCGTCACCAACATTGATTATTGCCATATATATATTTTTAACAATAGCCCTTCTAATTGGAAAGCAGAAACAAATAAAAGACATACAAATAGGAAAGGAGGAAATCAAGCTATTCTTGTTTATAAATGACAAAATTAAATTTTTTTTGTTATTTAAAAAATATTTATTCATTGGAAAGGCAGAATTTTATGGAGAGAAGGAGAAACAGGGAGAGAAATCTTCCATCTGCTGATACTCCCTAGTGGTTACAACAACCAGAGCTGAGCAGATCCAAAGCCAAGAGCCAGGAGCTTCTTCTGGGTCTCTTATGTTTCTTCTGGAATCCCACTTGCAGAATTCCAAGGTTTTGAATCATCCTGGGCTGCCTTCCCAGGCCATAGCAGGGAACTGGTTAGGAAGTGGAGCAGCCAGGACACATACTGACATCCATATGGGATAATGGCACTTAAGCATGGAGGATTCGCCAGTTGAGCTATCACACCAGCCCCAAATGACATAATTCTATAAACATAAAAAACAGAAGACTTCACCAAGAGACTATTAGTTTGAACATGTAAATTAAGCAAAGTTGTAGAGTATAAAAACAGCATGGGATGTTCAGCTGCATTTTTATACCCCTGAAATGATCTTGTCAAGAAAGACTTAAGAAGAGCAGTCCTGTTCAGAAAAGTTGCAAAGCAGCAAACGAATAAAGTAACTTGAACAATAACATTGGGGCATAATATATTTAACCACGGACATGAAAGACCTCTATACTGAAACTATAAAATATCAGTGAAAGACATTGGAGCACACACACACACACACACACACACACACACACACACACACACACGTGAAAGGAGCGCGCACACACGTGAAAGGAGCACACACACGTGAAAGGAGCACACACGTGAAAGGAGCACACACACGTGAAAGGAGCACACACACGTGAAAGGAGCACACACACGTGAAAGGAGCACACACGTGAAAGGAGCATACACACACACGTGAAAGGAGCACACACGTGAAAGGAGCACACACACGTGAAAGGAGCACACACACGTGAAAGGAGCACACACACATGTGAAAGGAGCACACACGTGAAAGGAGCACACACACGTGAAAGGAGCATACACACACGTGACAACCTATTGTTATGGAGTAGATGTTAATATATGCAAAGTGTGCATCTCACCCCAAGCAAGCTGATTACAGATTCAGAGCAATCTGTGAAACTTCTAGTGATTGTCTTCTAAGAAACAGGAAAAATACTTAATTCACATGGTGACACAAGACTCAGCAAAGTGGCCTGACGTGGTGGCATAGTGGCTAAAGTCCTCTCCTTGAACGCCAGGCTCCCATACGGAGGCTGGTTTCAATCGTGGCAGCCCTGCTTCCCGTCCAGCTCTGTGCCTGTGGCCTGGGAAAGCAGTTGAGGACGGCCCAAAGCTTTGGGACCCTGCAGCTGCATAGGAAACCTGGAAGTTTCTGGCTCCTGATTTTGTACTGGCTCAGTTCCGGCTGCTGCAATCACTTCGGGAGTGAATCATAGGAGGGACATCTTCCTCTCTGTCTCTCCTCCTCTCTGTATATCTGACTTTGCAATAAAAAATAAGTAAATATTTAAAAACAAACAAACAAACAAACAAACAAAATACTCAGCAGAGGCCATTCACTCTTGGATTATACAAACTAAGCCATCTAAGTTACCAGATTCTGAGACAAATTACAAGATATTACAATCAAATATAATGGTACTGGTATAAAAAGTAGATTCATTCCAAAGTTTACAAAGTCAGATATACACGGAGGAGGAGAAACAGACAGGAAGATCCCTTATCTGCTGGTTCGCTCTCCAAGCAGCCACAATTGCCAGAGCTGAGCCAATCCAAAGCCAGGCGCTGGGTACCTTCCTCCAGGTCTACCAGCAGATGCAGGATCCCAAGGCTTTGGGCTGTGCTCCACTGCCGTGAGCAGGGAGCTGGATGTGGGCACCCAGGATTAGAAGTGGTACCCATATGGGATCCTGACGTGTGCAAGGTGAGGGTTTTAGCCACTAGGCTACCACGCCAGGACCCATTCCAAAGTTTAAACACATCCTTCTTTATTCCTTAATAATTTATCAGCTTGAAATAGATAAAAATAATCCAAATATGATTACTGAAACTGTGGAAGTGCTACATTAAAATGTTTGGTTTTTATTTATTGGTTTTCTCCCTGAAACGCAATGACCTTTCATGTGAGCCCTATTTTGTACTGGAGGTATGGGATTCCTCCTTCAAATATCTATTTCTATGTATTCTCTAGAAAACATCTGTCCCTGACATGTTTTAAGGTTGTATTAACGATTTGTGTAGCACCATACGTTTGTCACAATTTATTGTAGCTGGTAGTTTGGTGCCTTCTCATTACAGGTTTGCCACAACCTCTGTGAACACCGGGGGCTCTCACTGCGCAGTCCTAGCCTCGGGATCACTCCTGTTATGTAACGGATACCCTGCATGTTTGCTAATGACTGAATGAAAACTCGACTCCCAAATCCTTCCTTTTCTCACATCACAAGGAGGATTGAGTTTCTTTTACAATGCCCTTATGTCCACGAGTTTTGCTGACACGCTGTCCTCCTGTGCGTCACCTACATGCGTGCTCCACAGTACCAGCTGCTCTCAGAAACTGACAAGCACATGTGGAGGTCTTAAATGCCCCAATTTCCATGTTTTCTTATGCTATTTTACTCATTATAGAACATCTATCTCATTGATTTCGAGAGTAACAATATAAACTCTGTCCCTCAAGCAATGATGGTGTTCATATGTGGCTTATAATATCAGGGATTGTACAAGACAAATTTTGAAAGGATATGTTATGTAAGGATGTTAAATAGGGTTTTCATGTTAGTATGTAAAGGCATTCATTGTGATTACTATTGTAAAGACAGATCATGAACCTCGGATATAGAAATAAGATGCTCAGCAAAGACCTACATTTGCCCAATAAAAAATTGGACCTTTATTTTTTATTATTGCTTCATAACCTTCTATCCATAAAGAGTGCTTAAAGCCAAAGGCAGATATTACATTTTAATTAGTTTACCTTGGCCTATTTCTATTTTGCATTGCTGTTATTCTTTTGATAAGGTTTAATTCCTAGTAATTTGCACCTTATATTTGAGATATTGAAGCTTGCATATTAAAAATGGAATTTAATTGTCTGTGAATGGTGTGGTAGGTGGTAAGAAGAGAGAAATGATACAGAGCATTCCAAAGAAAAAAGAACGTGGAAATAGAGTACTTAGCGTCACCTGCTAGCTTCTGAAATCGGACGTTGCTTCAGCTTGTGCTACATACATGATCCAATACACTGAGAATGCTCAGTAAATATTAGCAGTAACAACACAAAGCAGAGCTTCACTCATTCTGTGTCATCATTCTTACACAAGAATTTATGGCTAAAACAACTTGGTCTTCGATTAAACAGATGTTTTCCATTTTTGAAAGAATATTAAATATTTTTCCAGCGCTTTGTACCTTTAGCATAGTTGAAATGAAAGACAATAATGCTTTACGTCCTTTGATGTTGTTAAAGATAGATTATTTGCTACGAAAATGCTCTTTAGAATCAACTCTCAGTGTGATAATTAAATAACATAAGTTATGTTCTCTTCAGTCGGACGTAATTGGTTCAATGTGCTTCTAGTACCTTTTGCAACTGTATAATTCCTTGGTGGCATGAGTCAATGTTTGCACAAGTAAAACTTGAGAAATTACAGAAGATATAAAAAAAATCTCTAAATACTGAAATTGTTGAGGCAGCCCTTGTGTTAAATTGTTGATAGGGTGCTACAGTTTGGTATGATGGGAAAACCTGTGTGTTTGTGTATGGGGCATTGCCAGAAAAGCGGCTTGTACTTGCACTGAAGGTGGAGTCCAGCAGCTCCCTGGTGTTGAGCGACCATGTGCTTGCTCTGCTTGCTGCTCTCCTAGGAAATGGTGAATATGAAATTCATCCTTAGTGAAATTTCAGAACATGCTCTTCACATATATATATTTGACTACTCTGTCTTCTGCACCAAACATTTGTCCTTCAATCATAGGCATTTTTTTTCCCTAAGATCAGCCAGTGTCGTGAACAAGGAAAGGGAGAATCCTTTTGTTTCCTAAAACCAAGCCTCTTCCTGGGTTGGATTAGTCAAACAAACCGAGTGCTGCCAACCCAAGCCTAGTCCCAAGTTGAAACACCCATGGTAGCTTCTCAGTTGTCTTTGAATAGTTGAAGATACAGTAAGCGTTCAGATGCTTAAATGAATAGAAAGATCAACTAAGTCATGAGACCACTGAGAAGCTAATGGAATCAGGGTTGCTTCGTCATAGCTGGCATCAGTCTCCAAACTGTGGGCTTCCCAGAACCTCCGGCTGTGAATCTGTAACTTACTTCCCAGGTAGAAGTGGCTATAAAATGTAGGTATGCTTTTCCTTCTGCATTCACTTTCCTCTCCAACTTACAGCATAGTTTAAAATATATTTTGCTATCAGATGAAAGATCTTGTGAGTTTAGGTGGGATTAAAACGTAATGCATAGTGTTATTTACATTCTCATCTTGATACTTTTTTTTTTGACTGCCAAGCAAGGTGTGGGTGACATTTGAAGTATGGTTAACTGATTTGGAAGAAGCAATTTTTGCATATTCTAGAGGTTTTAAAAGTATGAGTTGGCTTTGCATAGCAGATGGTGAATGACAGCTGTTAGGATAGCATAGAAATGAGAATATCAGACACCTCCACATTATAAGTTGCAAAAACAAAATATGATGGGTTTGGTACATGACAATGCATGTGAAGCAATCAACTGCGTTTTTCTTTCTGCTTTTCAGTTCTGGTCATATATTTCTATCGCTATTTAAAATAAAACTACATTTTCTATTAGATTAGTAGCTTGATTTATAAACTCTAAAAGAATCATTTTTACCATTGATACAATTACAATTTTTGATGTTTTAATGCAGTGTGAATCTCTAAATAGAGAGGCAAGAGTATTTTGAATGTTTTACCATAGATAAACGCTGGATGTTTCAGATAAAATATGTGCTCATTACCCAGACTTGCTCATTACATAATAAATGAGAGTAGCAACATGACCTTTGTTCTATAAATACAGGTAATTAATATGTATCATTCAAAAGTGAAATCGAAACAACAAAATTTCATGTAGAGCATTTTTTTTGAAAGCTTTGTACTTGTCATTTGTGAATTTTACAGGAAAGTAGGGAGGAGGAAAGCATTCCACTGAAAAAATATCTGAATTTGATGCTCACATCTGACTTCTAATAACATTTTGACCACAGTCTCTGCATCATGGTAAATTCAGACTAGATTGCTCAAAGGGCTTTTATATAAAGTGGTGGCAAAGCTCATTTGTGGATTTCAGGCAGAAAACGCGTTCACTCACTGAAATTTTCAAGTTCTACTATCTATGAGATCCCAGATTGGATGTAATGATACATTAATTAGAGTTTTCATTGACTTTCACCTTGGGAAGTTCGTGGGACCTAACGTAACTGATCGCATCAGAAAGGAGACCTGGCCGTTCTTAAAATTCAGAGCATCTCCAGGTGACAGGCTGCTTTGTTGTTCAGAAAAATTTACTTAGTTGAAAGTCAGAATTATGGAGAGAAAGACAGATCTTCCATCCTCTGCCCCACTCCCCAAATGGCTACAACAGCACAGCTGGGGCAGTCTCAAGCTACAAACCAGGAGCTTCTTTGCAGTCTCCCACATAGGTGTCAAGGCCCCCAACTTTAGATCATCTGTTTCTGCTTTCCCGGTCCCACTGATAGGTGGCTGGATCAGAGGCAGAGCAGCCACGGCCCAGTGCTCATTTGGCTTTGCCTGCTAAGCCAGAGAGCTGGCTACTGTCGGTTATTGCAGTGTGTGTAGGGAGAGGATTCCTATTCTGTTCCTAGATTGGCTAATATTTCTGCAAAAGAAAAGCCAGAAAATTATTAGAGTGAAAATGTAGGGAATGGAAAATACAAATATGTGCAGAGGACTGTGCAGTATGAAGTTCAATAGTAGCAAGCAGTTCACAGGGAAGTGTTGTGATAAGCTAGAGGAGAATGGGGAAGTTCATTACCACCTGGCCACGAAGGCACCAACAGGGGAGGGGTGGTCCAAGCAGTTGAAAAATATGCATAAATATATATAAATATACATAATTATATATGTGAATATATTTAATATAGAAATACAACATCTAATTCTCAAAGAGTAAGACACAGTAGAAATAATATATTTTTATTTTTTGGATTTTGATAAATTT